GTTCTCTCGTTACAGCGCAAAGCAGCTGAGAGAGAGAGAGAGACAAGGGAGAGAGAGAAGGCAAGCTCACCCTTCCTTTTTTCCGCAGAGGATGCTGAACGTAGTGCTGTGCGAGTCATAGTGAAAGAAGAGCTATGCGAAGCAACTTCCCCCACTTAAGGTACGTCCAGGATCCTCTGCAGAAACAAGCCCTCACCGCGCGAGGAGCCGTAGAAGTACCTGGCAGGGCAACAAAAAGTGACAAGCAAGAGACCGCGGGTCGAGGAGGCAGTGCAGCCAGCGCCTAGCGAGGCAGAGCTCAGTTTTCCTCCTTAGCGCAGCATTGCTTTTGTAGCGTCTTGCAACAAAGGAGGCCAGGCAGTGCAGGTGCCGTGCAGCGAGACGCTGTGCGAAGCGGAGGCAAGCTGGGTCAGCGAGACACGCGTGCGCTCGGCACTGCGGTGCCGCATAAAGTCATAAAGGCAATGCGACCTCTGCTGAGGGCGTCGGCCCAGGTGTTCTTCTCACCTGCAAGGTGCTCCACGTCAAACTGCACGCGGTGCAGGTGCGCCCACGTGGCGGCCAGGCGAAGAAAGGTGCCCAGCGGCTCTGCCGTGCTAAACAGTTTATTCAGACCGGCTTCGGCGCTAGTATTGTCGCTGGCGCTGGGCAGCACGAAGCGGACGTGTCTGGCGCGGAGCAGTTGCCAGGAGCATTGCGCCAAGGCCAGCTGTGTAAGGGTTTCGAAGCAACCAATGTAGGGTTGCAGGCTGCCGGTAAGCTGGGGCCATTCGGCGCGGACCTGGTCTGCGGTGAAAATCTCGCTATACCAAATGAAGTGCTGGGCGGTGCTGAGCCAGCCGCCAATGCCCATGCGGTCCTTGTCAGCGAACGCGTCCGCCGCACTCAGGCAGTGCATACGCGGAGCTGCCCTAAGGGATCTGGGCTGTTCGTGAGCGAAGCATAGGCTCAACCATTGCAGGACAAACTTGCTTTCTGTGCGGAGGTGGATCTCTTGGCGCGTAGGATCCGCTAGTCTAACCCACTGGTGCTTATGCGACGGTGGTACGCGGGGCACGTCTTGCTTAGAGCCTATCTTAAGGGATCCCACTTCCAGTAATTGGGCATGACGGGGCAGCCAAGAACCTGCGGGGGTCCGAGTTAGTCTGGCGGAGCTGTCTAGGGCATCGTAAAACTGTTGGCAAACTGCTGGGGCAATGCTGTGCAGCGTGCCTTTGGCGCTGTGCAGGTCTTTGTAGAGCGGTGCCATAAAAGGTCGCAGATGTTTACTCATGGTGGTGGCCCAATTAAGCAGACCGAGAACGGCTTCCAAGGACTTGCGGGGCACTTTGCTCAAGCGGTGCAAGGAGTCGAGCTGTTCTCGAAGCCTGGCAAGCTTGTGCGGCATGAGTTCAACCGTTTCTGTTGCAGTGCAGAATTTCCAGCCGCACCAAGTGGCTTGTGCAGAAAATTGGGCCTTCTTCCAGCTGATGGGCGCCTTAATGGCCGCAAGCAAAGCCACGATCAGGGCGGCGCCCGAGTGCGAATGCGAAGTGCGAAGCATGACCAGCAAGTCATCCACGTACAGCCAGGCCTTGTGGGGGTGCCGGTCAAGCAGTGCATGCACGCATCGAAGAATGAGGCTTCCAGTGCGTTGCCACCAGTAAGCGCTAAAGCGTGCGCCGAAGTGACAGACGGTGTAGTAAAACAGGCGCCCGCGGTGCCGAAAGAGCAAGGTGCCTTGGTCGCTTTGCCGTACTTTAACGCATTTGTGCGCAGCCTTAAAAGCAAGTGACAATGCGAGCCACTGAGCAAAGGCATCTTCGGCAAGAAAAGTGCGCTGCACGTCCGATGCAGAGGGCATTGCGATGCGCTCCGGGAGGTGCACTGCTGGGTTGAGGCCACAGACGGTGCTGTCAAGGACCAGGCGCGGGTCTTTGCCTTCTGCGGTGACAACGTTAAGCTTACCTATGGCAGTGCCCAAATGCCAATGCTTTGCAGCTTCTTCCGCCGAGCCCGCGAACTCCCTGACCCAGCCGTTGTCGATTTCTTTTTGTATGAGCTCGTCTAGCAGTGCGGGCTCCTGTTCTGCGGCCAGCCAGTTTCCTCTGCAGTGCTCCAATGCAGGGCCTGAAAAATCCGTGTCGGAATCGAAGCAGTGCTGGACTTGCACCCATTGGTGGCTGCTAGGCAGCGGCTCGAAAGCGCCGGTCGGAACACCTTCCGCCAGAAGGTCAGGGAGGTCCCTGTCCTTGTCTTGCAGGGCCACTGCTATGCTTTTGAGAACTTGCAGTCGAAAGGGTTGACCCGGCGCAACAGAAAAGAAGGACTGGCACGGCGTTTTCGGTGCTAAGTGCAGGCGGACTTAACTCGGCTAGCACGGTGCCGCGGTAGTCCGAAAGGGGGGCGCCTTCCTTAGCCTCGGCGAGGTGCTGGGCGATGACTGACTCGAGGCCTTGAGTTTTGAGGTACTTGCTCATGTCTGTCTTGGGCGAGCTTTGCCAGGGGCTGTGCTTTCGTGGAGATGTTGTTGGCGGCGTGGTCTGCGGAGCTGAAGAGACCGGCGCCGTCACCAGGTAGGCATGCGTACCGGGTGGAAGGTGCTGGGCAAAAACTGCTGAAAGCTATGCAAGGCGATGTCGTCATGGCCCAGCGCGGAACAGTTGGCCTTGTAGTGATGAGGCAAGAAACGCGGAACTTCGAAATGCTCCAGTGAGAGCAATCCGAAGAGCAGAAAAGAAGGCTGGGCCGGAAGGCGTCGGATTCTCGGCAGTGCGCGGCCAGTTCCTGGCAGAGGTGCGTGTAAGCCCTTTGCAGTACCTGGTCCGCTTTGCGGGGGAACAGAAAGTTCACGTGTGCTCCTTGCAGGTGCGCAGCCCGCAGCAGGGCGCGGGCCTGGCTGTGCTCGGCCTCTGGCAGGTCCGAGGCAGTGGCCAGCAGGAACATTGATCCTAGAATGCCTGACCACACGAGTTGAAACAACCGTGCTAGGGATTCGGGCTGCGACAGGGCACCTTGTGCGGTACTTTGCACTGCGAAATGGTCCCTATTCTTAAACCCAGGGGGGAGAACCGAAGCGGGGCCTACTATACACAGGCCGAGACGAGGTAAACTCGAGGCATTGACTGAGGCATGTTCTCCATCCGAGGAGGAGGATTCGTCGGAGTCGGTGCTTTCTGTTGCCGGGCCAGGGGGTGCGTCGGATGCCGTCACGTGCTGGGACGGCGGATGTGCAGGCGAGCTTTGCGGAGCTGGGGTGGGGATGGCTTAGGGCTGGGGTCTGCTAAGACTGTAACAGGCGAGGCATTAGGGGCATTAGGGGTTGCATTGCAGGGCTGGGCCGACGGCTTGCTAAGGGCTGCTGAAGGCTGCTTTGTAGCCGAAGACGAAGAAGTGGAGCCTAGTCACGACGAGCTGGGCTCCTGCGGGTTCTTGTGCCGGCAGGCAGGATGGTTCCTGCCACAGGGCTCACCTGATGGGAGCTTGTAGGCGCAGGCGTGCAGGTACTTGCACTGTGCATTGCGACAGTTCCCCTTGTTGTATCGGATGCAGAAAATGCGGTTGTTGTGCGAGGGGACTAGCACGACATCTTTGTTGTCTGTGCTGGTGCCCGAACCCGGGGTGCCGCGCTTCCCGGGCTGCGTGCCGGTGTTCTGACCTGACTTGTCCTCTTTGCGTGGCGGGGGCTTTTGCGGCGGGGGCGGGGGCTTGGCTCGGAGCTGAAGGAGGTTTCCAATGTCCGACCGCACCGCGGTGATCTCGTGCAGGGCGTCATCAAGTGTCCAACCTGAGCTATGCATAGTGCTGAGCTCTTGCCAGAGCTTCCTATCTGCAGCCACCAACTCTGTGGTGGTAACGGTGCGGAGCGAGTGATCTGCTGGGGATTGCGTCGCCCAGTCCAGCACTTTCTTGTCTAAAACCACAGCACAAACTTTTGCGCACACTGTTGAGCCTTCACAAGCGGTCGTCTTGCAAGTCAGCTGACACTCAAAACTAGCTCTAAAAAGGGGTTCCGTGGAAAACTAAAAAGTTGTCACCCCCTTCAAACTGATGCCCTCCAAGAGCTTCAGTTTGCACAACAACCGGAGCGCTCCTGTTTGAATCTTTTCAAACTGCCCTTTTAGAGCACTGGAGTTCGCACCACATTACCGTCAAAGGTTTGCTACTTCTTACCTGTACAAACCCTGTCCTGGGGAGCATCTTGGGGCTCATCAGATTTTGTTCTAGTTCCCAGGATCTTTAGAGTGTTCCAACCAAACAGCTTGCAAGGTGTCGTACTTTGGGCTTATTTCTTTTTAGGGTACAGACACCTGTGAGACTTGCTTGAAGACTACTTACATCTAGTGCAGACACTGTACTCAGGAGAAAAGGCCGCAAGCAACAAAAGCTTCGGCTCTCAAAAGCGGGCTCTCTAGCGCACTCAAAGGTCCTTGGACAAGGTGAACTAGCCGGTGAGGTGTGGGTTGCACTGTTTGCAAGGTTGTAGGCCATTCAATCTCGCACGGGTGACCAACATGGCCTGAACATCACCTGGTCTCACTGTCCGCATCTTTCGCACCATGCCACAATGCTCTCTGTGGTAGGCCTTTCCTCGTCTGAGGGCTCCGATGGTGTAGACCGTCGGAGGATCCACATTTTGAGCTGGCTCTGGCATCGCTTGTGGATCTCTGCGAGGTCCGGTGTATCCAGCTGCACCTTGAAGATGCAACGTTCCTGTGTACGTAGCTGTTTTCCCACGAGCTGCGGCACTTGAAGAAGAAGCTGACGCTGAAGGTGAAGTTGACGAAGTCGTTGGCTGCGAAGTAGGCGTCCTCGTTGTAGTTCCACCTTCATTACCCCCAGCTCCGGAAGAAGAAGGCGTTGCAGAAGCTGTAAAGGGGTTTAAAAGAGCTGGGAGAAAGATGTTCTCAAGCCAGGTGTGCATACGATCTCTCACCTCATCCTCAGAGATGAGATTTCCACTTGCTTCACCACCATTGGACTCATCATTGTTTGCTACCCGCTGCCACCGTCGTGGAGGCATATAGCCGACCAAAGTCGTGAAGACAAAGAACAGCACCAGGAAAGGGATCGCCAAGATCACGTAGACATGCCACCCTGAGCTTGTAGCCGAAGAAGCCCAGGAAGAAGTCACCGTAGACGAAGAAGTTCGCTCCAAGTCGTTCTTGCCAAAGGTGAAGTCCAGGAGGTTGAGGTAGACCACCGCCAATCCAAAGTTCCAAGAGCTTGAGCACAAAGGCGTAGCACTTGTTGTCGTTGTCATTCCTGAGGTCTTGTAATTCTTGAAGAAGAACACACTGATCAGCTTGGTGATCTTCGCAAAGGCAAAGAGAACACTGAAGACGAAGAGCAGGTTGAAGACGAAGTCGTTAATCTGGTAGTCCATAGCTTCAGGGATCTTGTTGTTCGGGGCGCCCCACCCAAGTTCAAGTAGACTAAGAGCCAAAACTTGACGAAGGTTCTGTTTCAAACTCACCCTTGAAGCCTTGGCCGCAATCTTCTTTGTAGCCTGTGCATTCCATGCTGCAACAAACGCATCTCGACCAACGGGCACCTCGACACATGACAAGCCACACATGTAGCTGAGCAACTTTAGCCGGGTTGCATTATGTGACTTTGTGCCCACATCAGAGGGGCAGAACTGCGTGCCTATGGGCTTGACGGAGAAAACTCCTTGCCTTCTTTTCTGCTGCACCCACAAGTAGTGTAAGTCGACATGTTTCAGTCCCCCAAGTCCTTCACGATTCAAAAGTGCACGACACGCGCTGTTGTCAACACGGTGGATGCATTCACACTCCTCGCACGTCAAACATTCCAGGACCTTCTTGATCAGCATGGCTTCTTGAAGGCTGAGCAAAGCACCATGAAGTTCGGCTTCGCACGAAGAAAGAACCACTGTTTTCTGCCTCTTGTTTGTCATAAAGATAGGGTTCCCATTGACATAGAGGATCGAACACGAAACGCTCAAACGACCAGGCTCTGAACACCAGGAGGCAACGGACACACTTTCAAGAAGATGCCTTCCGTGAAAAGGGTTGTCACTTTTGGCATCTCTTGTTTCATCATCCTTCTCAATCTCAAGGCACCTTTGCTCTACAGTGCGTCCTGGCCACGAAGGGGTAAACAAAAGTCCTAGATTGTCTTGTTCCTTCAGGTAGCGCACCAAGTGGCATAGGAGCTTCCATTCATGCTGCCTTGGCGTTGTGGTTCTGCTGGAGAGGACTTTGACAGAGTAAAGGATGTCAGGTCTGTCAGGACCCATGTAGAGTAGTATGCCAATTGCCGTCCTGTACTTATTGTACTGTTCACCTTCAAGAAGGACTTCAAGAGATTCATCTGAACATTGATGAGGATGTGCTGGACAAGGAGTGTGCTTACCACTAGCACGGGCTGTGTCCGTGAGTTCGATCAGCTTGTTGATGTGCTTCTTGTCTTGCTCTATGAAGATACCCCCTTCAACTGCATACATCTTCCTCTTGAGAAACTTGCAGGAGCCAAAATCAACACTCAAAGGCCCTTCCCAAGAGATGTTAAGACCTTCGCTTTTGCAATGGGCTTTAAGCTTCTCGGCTCTTTCCAGCTCGCAAACCGTTTCGATGTCATCAACGTGAGTGAGCACCGCAATGCTTTTGGGTTCGATAAACAGGGCAGGGGCACCTCCAAAGCTGTGGATGTTGTCGCGTTCCAAGATCAAGCGAAACTTGTTGAACCAATCTCGAGCTCCAGTTCGCTGCCCTGGCAGATTGAACTTGAGCTCATAGCAGACACCTCGAGAGGTCTCAATGTAAGTTGGCCTCTGCTGCTCCACGCACAAGTAGGCATCCTTTACGTCGCCGCTCAGGACAACAAGGTTCGTGTTGCTGCAAGCCAGCGCTGTGAAGAGTTCTTGCAACGAAGCCAAAGATGCCGGCGAGTACAAGTCGGCCATCTCAGGCTGAAGGAACCTGTATTCCCTCGCAACCAGTCTGCTTCTTCTTTTCCACTCATCTCGAAAGCGCCAATCTCTCACAAACTTGCAGCTCAACTTGTACATGTCATTCTTTTTGGTCTCGTCTGTGAGCTCCTTTAGGACTCCCATGCTCAGCAACCTTTCCTCCTCGACCTTGTCCATCTCAGCGTCAAGGAGCGCAAGCTTCTCATCATCCAAGCTTGGCGGGCCATCTTCATATGCCCTTCTTTTTGCATCATCTAGGATCTCCTCAATCTCCCAGTTGATGCCCTCATCATCGAACACGGCAAAGTCTTCATCATCTTGAAGGGCCTCGGGCTCGGGCTCATGGCCTGTTGGAAACTCCTCATCTATCTCTTCGCGAAAAGTCCTCATCACCCCGGCCGGAATAAGCTCCTCTGACATTGCCGCACCGCTCGTTGACATTGCCGAAGAGCCTGCTGCACTTGCACTCGAAGGGACATTTCCAGGGCCTTCCCCAGATGCTGCAGAGGATGAAGAAGGGTCTGTTGCTGCTTCATCTTGGTTCTCCCTCGGGGCCTCTACCTCGAGGATCACCGGCATTCTGTTGTGATCGCTCTTTCTCTGCTTTGTTGCCAGGACCTCCAAAGAGAAGCCCCAAGGCACTCCACGCATAGTCTTCAAAAGCTCCACATCATACCCTTTGGGCGCACGGCGGGCTGTCCTCGCAAATTGTATCCCTTCACTGCTGCCAAGGATATGCAGCTGGCCGAGCTCAGATCTGCCAAGCCACACATAGGACTTCCATGGTTCCCCTTTGTTCTTGTTCTTGGGCAGCACCTGAGCATAGACAACGCTTCCAAAGGGACACAACTTCTGGCTGTAGGGCTTGCCATGCACCAGCTCATAGCTTGTGCACCCGCCCTTGTGTACAGTAAATCTCGAGACTAAAAAGCCAGCATGGACATAGGCCCACGCAAAGAGAGGATCACTGCTTTCAACTTTGTGTCCTGTCCGTTGTCGAACGGTCTCGAGCAAGCAATTCCCCAGCCGTCTCACCGTGTCTATATATCTTTCTGCAGGAAGAGCTCGGTGGGCCGAAGGATCTGGAGCAACTGGTTCCAAAGTGGTACCAAAACCCATCTTCAGACGGGCTGTCTGAATGGACTCTGCCAACTGCTTCATTGCCGGCTCTGTGTCAAAGCGCAAACTGACCTGTGAGTAGCCTAGCTGCTGCGTCATGGTGGTCACCTCTTTCGTGGCATACTTCACCAAGCTGCCACCCTTGCCACTAAACGCAACAACCTTGACAAACTTCGACTGGCTATCTACGCAAACCAAGTGGGTCGCCAAGCCATTCTCCTTTGTTCCAGTGAACATGTAGTCCATCGAGATGACAGAGTTCTCCCGACGAGTGTTGCCAACATCTTCAAAGTTATCCTCTCTTGAGCGGGTCGCCACACAAGACTCGCACCAAGGAGCACGAGGTAGGTGAGTGATCTCATGTAAAGCCACAAGCTCGGGAGAAGGAGGAGGAGGCAAAGCTTCCGCAAGAGGCTCTCGTTCAAACTGTTTCCGAACCTCCTCCGACGCTTGAACACTGGCCTTCACCTTGCTGGCGGCGACCTCACGCTTAAGCCTAGCCCAGACTGCAGCTTTGGCGCCATTTTTCGAAACGCCCAAGAACTTGCATGCCTCTCTGAGCTCCCTAAGAGCACTGTCCTCGGTGAGCACCTTACCATTGACCTGCACTGCCTCATCTTCATCACCTTGTACTTCGACAGGTGCAGGGCCAATCAAAGGCACGGCCCCACCGTCTTGCTCATCTTCACCTACACGATCACCACCAGGCTGAGCATCAGGCATCGAGGCATCTCCATCTCCACCAGCTTGCAACTCTTTTTCAGGACTCTCGACTGCAGCAGGTTCAGGGGGAGGTTTTGGGACCACACGTGGGACAACCTGACCCTCAACGACACCACCTAGGGACTCAATCTCGATAGGCTCCTTGACAAGGATGGTGAGCACTTTCCTCTCTTTCATGTCAAACTCAACATGTCTGCAGGGCCCACCAGGTATCAAAGGACCCCAAGGCTCACAATCCTCGAACACTTCATAGTGTGTGCCACCGCGCCAAAGGAGTGTAACACGCAGTGGCCAGTCATCTGGAGTGAAATAATCACTTGCATCGTGCGTGCCCTTCATGTTCATCCCCAAGTGTGCTGGGAAACCCTCGGCGCTCAATCCCCAGCCCACCTCCTTGGTGAGAACATCGATGTGCTCGCTCAGGGCAAGCACCAAGCGAAGGCGAAGAGGATCAGAATCACCTGGGTGTTGGCTTGGGTCTTCGGCTGCTTCAGGAGGATTTTCTACAGCTTCAGAACTGATATCATCGGTGACTCTGCTTATCCTCATGAAGGTGGCCAAAGAATTCTTGCTCCAATGCACTCCGAATCGAGAACCATCCCGACGCAAGTACCAAGCACCATCCTCTTTCACAGGCTGCCAGTGATTCTTTAAGAGTTTCCCGAAGCAAAACAGAGGCTGTTTGACATTGGCAAGAGTGGCAAAATCAGTGAACTGGATCATCTCTCCATCCTCGCCCTCAACCTCAAACAGAACACGCTGCCGAGACGAAGCTTGAGGGATGGTGTTTCCTTGTGCATCTACAAGAGTTGCCTTGCGACCACCATCTGCACCTACTGACTCAAACTGGCTCTGAGGCAAGACAGTGCAGTCGGCACCTGAGTCGAGTATTACTTCATGAAGACATGTGTCCTGCACTGAACGGGCAGCAACCTCAACGTCACTTGTCACACTCTCGCCCTCGGCACTCTCAGAGAACATGCGGTACCACATGGTGCTGTTGTTCGGCAACTCGTCTGCACTCGAATCCGGCTCGCGAAGCTCTGAGTCAACTTCCCGAACAACACGAACAGCACCATCATAAAACGTGACATGGATCTCTTCAGTGTCACCATCACTCTCATCAAGAGCGCAGAGATCAACACGCTGGACCTTTGCCTTTGCCTTAGCCATGGTAGTCGCCGAGGTGGGCGCCGTCGAAGCTGAAGCCTGCGAAGTCACATCACTGTCTTGCACCACATTCACTCGCTGCCGACATTCAGCTGCAAAGTGCCCAGGTTTGCCACATGCAAAACAAACTTGGTTTGCTCCCTTCTTTCCTTTTCCACCTCCTTGTTTGTCCTTGCCCTTGCCTTTGTAGCCACCATGTTTGTCCTTGCCCTTGGTGTTGTACCACTGCTTCACAGGTTTTCCTTGGTCCTTTCCTTTGTAGGCTCCTTTGCCTCCTTTGGGTCCTTTTGCACCACCCTTCTTTCCTTTACCTCCAAACTTGCCCTTCTCGACCCGATCAACATCCATTGCCTCACCATCAGCTCCTGGAACACGGCCTACTCCCAAAGACTTCAAGACATGCTCCGCATTCCATGTAGAAGAAGATCTCTCATACTGCAAAACTCTTTCTCGTAGTTGCTCATACTTGGTAGAGTCGACGATCTGCATCTGAAGATACCTTCGCATTTCAGCTGGCAGGCCGGAAAGAAGAGTTCCGATTTTTAAATCGTCTGCGTAGCTTTGAGAAGACAGAGCTTCGTATTCTCGAACGAGTCTCTCGAACGTGAGGACGTACTCTAAGATGCTTGTATTCTCTTTGTAAGGTGGGAAGCGTGTAAGAGCCTGTGCGAGTGCTAAAGCACGTGGCCGACTCCTAGGAGCAAGCTCGTCATGAAGCTGTCTCCAGACCTTGAAACCATCAGCATCCGTTACAGAACGTAGCAGCTTGAGTGGTCGTCCTCGCAGGTAAGAAGCCAGCATGGCATACAACCGAATGGCTCGTTGCTTCTGGCCTTCCGTGTAGCTCGAGAAGGAAGTGAAGGCAGTAGCTGTCTCACAGTTGTCTAGGTCCTCTTTGTACAAGGGATCCTGGATCATTAGGAAGGACTTGAAGCGAAAGCTCCAGTCGTTCCACATCTGCATCTCCTGTTCCATGTCCCTGGGCTCAAAGACATCCGGCTGCCTCACGAACTTGCTTTCCTTCCATCCACCGCCAGCCGAAGACGCTGACGATGACATAGCCAGTTGGCTGACCGCCTGAGCCAGCCTGTCCAAGACCATTTCTCCAGTGAGAGCACCCCCTTGTGAATGGGCACTCGGAGAAACATCTCCCGTCATAGGGGCTGCCGAGGCAGCAGCCGCAGAAGGCTCCATTCTTGCTGAACCGGCTCAAGGCTCAACACTCCTGCCAGAGTAGGCCTCGCACCACCAAGCAGCGGTTCACCTCGAAGTTCAAGAACTGGCCGCCACTCACGCAGCGGCGGTCGTAAAAGAGCTCGTTCACAAGCCAAGCAGCGCCACACACGCACGCGAGGGCTATGCCACCAAAGGTGGGCTCTTCGACACTACAACTACAGGGCTCTACCCGGATCGGTGTTCGGTCCCCTGGAGCTTTGGTAGCTCCGCTACCATAAAACCACAGCACAAACTTTTGCGCACACTGTTGAGCCTTCACAAGCGGTCGTCTTGCAAGTCAGCTGACACTCAAAACTAGCTCTAAAAAGGGGTTCCGTGGAAAACTAAAAAGTTGTCATTGTCAAAAGCCTTGATGCGGGCAAGGTGCGCCCCTTTGCAGAGTGCAATCGCATTACGGAAAACGGCCTGGATGCGGCTGAGCCATGCAGGGCTCAAGCGCAAGTGGTCCACGGGCAGCTCAGGCGTCTCGTCGAACAGGGCAGTGCTCAGGAACTGTGCTTCTGTGCGGAGCATTTTGCTGGACTTCGATTCCATGATCTCTTGATATTGCTTTTGGGACAAGCGCAGTTGCCACGGAATCCAGGCTATGCGATTGCCGGGCGTGAACCACTTGTGCACGAGGCTTAGTAGACGCACGCTAGGCATCGCGTCGCTGTCGAGGTATTTACCAGGATAATTGGTCTCAAAATCTGCGACCAGCTTGGCAATGATGGCGCTGTCCAGACGGGGCGGTGCGTGTTCAGCCCATGAGTTAATGGACTGAGCTTGCTGTGCTTGGGCAGGGGCTGCTGGCTCTACTGCATCCGATGCATGAGTGAGAGCTTTGTGCTATGCGAGCGATTGGAAGAAACCTTGGGGGACAAGTGACTCGAGAGTCGTCAAAAACGGCTGCGGCGAGCAAGAACACATCAGCGCAAGGCAACAGGTGCCAACTGAGCAAGATGCCAAAAAACCCAATGCCCGCAGGGCACTGGAAAAAGACGAGGAGCATGATGACCTGGGCAGGATGGAAGACAGATTCTGGGGCGAAGGACAGGAGTACTGTTCTCTAGATTGCTTTTGCCTGTGCGGGCGGAGCAGTGCTGTCTGAGACTAGGATTACGCGCAGGCTTTGCGTCTGCATGTGACACCGTGAGGTTGATCTGAGAATTGCGCCGCCACGCCCAGGCGGATGCCGCAAGCAGTGCGCAACGGGACGCCCTCCAGGGGCGTTGCCACGCGGCGCCATTTGCCCCAGGGGCCCGTGCAAGCGAAGCGCCGATCACCACCTATCACTAGAGGCACGCGGTGCTCGGTCTCTTGGTCCGAAGAGACGGACGACTCGGCTGAGCTGGCGTCATCTGCGTGCAGCGCCGCTGCGCGTGCGACCATTGCCGCTTCCTCGTCAGGGAAATCCTCTATCGGGTCCGCATCCAGACCGGGTGCAGCCGGCGGTGAAAGAAGGGAGTCATCCCGGTGCTTGGCAGGATCGAACGGAGCGGAGGCGGCTTTGCTTTGCGTGAAGTCCGCGATGACATCCGGGCTCGGCGGGTCCGGCGCTGTTGGTGCACCATTCATGGCCGCTGATGCTGCAAGCAAATGTTCGTGCCTCGTGACGAAGAAAGCCCAACGAGGGTCTAGCAGGTCTTGATCTGGCAGTTCTTGCAAGACGGGGCCAGGCGGCAGTGCAAAGGGAGGCTCTGGTATCGGTGCCTGGCCGCCCCTGGCGATGCTTCGCTCGGCCCGCCAGCCGGTGCACATGGAGTTGCTGAGGCTGTGCTGCACATCCAAGCTTGCGAACACATCATTGCGGGAGTACAGCGTGGCCGAATCGCGGTGATGGCCGTGCGTTAGACGGCGCTCCTTCCAGAGTCTGAGTTGGGCCGCCGACGCAAGACCGGTAGACTTCATGCTATGCAGTGTAAGCTGTGCTGCCTCATGAGCGGTGAGCCCTTGGCCGGGCGGTAGCCAGGGCAAAGTCGCCGCCCAGCGCAGGGCAAGCATAGCGGTGCAGTAGGAGGCCGGGCTGAGCTCCAGAATCGAATTCATCTCCGGGGCAGTGCTGAGCCAAGCGAAGTCCACCACGTCGCCCGGGCTCCACAGGGAATCGATGGCCGAGCGCATTGCGTACAACCAATGCAAGACCCAGCAGGATGCTGCGCTGCGGCCCGTGAGGCCAGCCAACGTCACCGCAAATGGTTGTCCCTTATCAATCGTTTTCGTTGCATAGCATATTCCGTGCAAGGCTGTGCAGCTCAGCGAGAGCGACTCAAAATCAATGCGTTGCAGGTCCCCGAAGCGGAGACACCCGTGCACAGCCAAAAGAATGGCGCCCAAGATGAGCTTGGTGGTGAGGGGAGCACCCGTGGTGCATACATGAAATTCCCATGCCGAGATAAGGGCCCAGGGAATAGGCAGGGCTTCGCGCCGGTCCTTAGCAGTGCCTCGCAGGGAGTAGGCTCGGATAACCGGGCTGTCCATGACAACGGCAAGGCTGTGCCACTGGGCGCACTTGACCACCCAGCGAAGGGCTTTTACGGAAGATGCGGCCGAGGTTTGGTGTACCTCTCGATCTTGGCTGTGCGAGGCCCGTGCTGCGGCGAGGAAGTCAAGGAGCAAAGGGAGCGTGACCGACGCAAGCGTTACGCCAGAGCATTCCAGGAAGAGGACCCAGGCCGCGGCAACGCGGAGGTATCTCTCTAAGGTGCTGGGCCGGAAGGACGCGACAACCGCAAGGCAGTGCTGAGTCGGATCTTTGCAGGGCTGAAGGGAAACCCACAGGAGCGACGCCGAGCCGAGTTTGAGCAGCAGCTGGCACCAAGCGGTGCCACAAGCTTGCATCCTGGCCTCAGAGCGAGCTCGCGTCGAGGAGGTGCAGACCCGTTGCGGTTTGGGGGGTTTGAGGCTGGGCTGTGGCTGGGCAACTGGGGCCGAGGCCGCTGCCGGCGGCAAGTCCACATGCCCTGAAGATTTAGGTGGCGGGGCAGTCACATGCAGGGTGCGAGGCGGAGGTGGGGGAGGGGGCCGCGATAATCCATGGCCTGTCTTTGCGGGACCGTTTGTGCGGGGGCGGTGCCGGGCAACCGCGCCCCTCCAGCGAGCGAGGGAAGAAAGCTCCAGAGCAAGGAGTCGAAGCAGGCTGAGCTGGCGGCTTAGCTAGATCCGACACACGTGGCAAGTTCCCGCGCTTATGCTGAACAAAGGCAAAACCCACGGGCTTGTGTGCAATGCGAGGCTGAGGCGAAGGCGACGGCAGAGACCAGCTCGAGGCGGAGCTGGCACATTCTTCGGTGCTGTCGGGCCCGGCCAAAGACCTGTGCGAACCTGTGGGCTGCTGAAGCTTGCCTTCTGCGGGGGGAGTCTGCAGCGACTCGGGCTGGGCGCTTTTTGGGGTCTGTGCGAGCGTCGCGATCCGCCGACTGCGAGGCCCAGCGGCGGCGCATTGCAGGACAAACTGAGAAAGCGGGAGCGCAGAAAGGCTTGCACCGAAAAGGCTACCCTGAACAAGAGCAGCCCCGACAAGAAAAGAAACCCCACTGCAAGGCCGAAGCAAGAGAACACGATGCAAGCGCCCGGCCGAAGAAGAGCACGATGTCGAAGGTACCTGGCGGCAGGGCAAAAGCAAAAGAAAACAGTAAAAGGAAGGGCGGCCGCGGTTGTGCACCTCCTGGGCCGAGCTCGCGGAGCAAGGCCGGCGGAGCGGGGCCGGTGCGTGTCCTGCGGGGCAGGGCAACCCTAAGCAGACAAGGCATGGCTGTGAACCGAGAGCGCTCAAGATTACACGCGCAAGCTTTTGCGAAGCGCGCGGAGCAAGGTCGTCGACACGGAGCTGTGCAAACGAGGCTGTGCATGCAAGGCTGGACGGTATACGGCCCTCGGCCGCGGCATTTCTATGCGGTGCCGAACGGTGCCTGGCTACTTGCCGGCCTGTTTGCATTTTGAGCACCGGTGCACCTCATGGACATCCTTGTCCCAGGGCTCGTGAATTTGCTTGGCACAGGGCGGTCTGCCGTAGTCGCAGCTTGAAATTTGACAGGCGATTGCGCAGCAAACGCTGCCATTGCTGTGCTTGAACAAAGGGCGGAGCTCACCGTTGCGGCAGCGCACATACTTAATCTCGGTGGTCACCCGCTCGCTCGGCGTCAGTGCTCCATGCGGCTGGTCGGCGCGAGGGCGGGGCAAAGGCCAGAACGCAGCAGGCAACGGTGCTTGTACCGGTGCAGGTTCTGGTGCTGAGGGCGGTGCCGGCGGAGGGTTCCCAAACCCCGCGGGCTGTGCATAGCTCCAATCGCCACCATGCTGTTGCGAATGTCCCCACGAAGCTTGGCGATGGCGGCGCTGGTCAGAGCTCCGGTGCGGTTGGTTCCAGTGCTCCTCGTTGGCGTCGTCCGTGCTGTCAGCCCAACGCTGTGCAGGGCCGCGTCGGGCATCGTAATCATCATAGTGCTGGCGCCGACCTTTGCCGTAGCTGTGCGGCTGCGCCTGTGCTGGGGCCGTTGCCGGCAACTCTTCCCAAGCGTCACGTTGCGATGCTGTGCCTTGGTCCCACTCCTGCTCCTGCGCAGGTTCCGCCGGTGCTGGGCCGAAGCGAGTGTTCTGTGCTTGGCGCAGCTCTTCCAGCAATTGCAGCGTCTGGGCATTGCTGAGGTGGCGGAAAGCTGCGACGCGGTCTGGCCCCGGCTGTGCGAGCAGGGCTTGGTGAATGCTGCTCATACCCGACATGATATGCAGTGCAGGCTGGGAACGCGAGGGCGGGGGAATGCTGAAAGCAAAGAGGCTGCTGGTGCCAAGCGCAAGCAGAAGGCTGGACCAAATGCAGTGCAGTGAAGACACAGTGCTGAGCTGAAGCAACAGAGTCCTTGAGGTCGACGATGGCGAAGTCGCAAAGCTGTACCTGACAGGGCAAGGGGCAGGTCAAGGCAAGGCGGGGCAAGAACACACAGCGGTGCATCTCGGCGCAGAGAACGAAGGCCTGAGCGAGCCGGCCGCGTCAAGCGAGACGAACATGTAACAGAACTGAGCCCCGGCCGGGGCGAAAAGGAAAGTCAGCTGTGCGGTCAGACCTGCGTCAAAAGGTGCTCAAAACACCGGCAAAAACGCTAGGTGAGGGGGCGGAGCGGCCTCGGCCCAGCAGATCGGGCCCCGCGGGGCAACCGACCTTAGCACGCGGTGCTTCGAGTGCCAACTCGAACGATGCGCTTGCGCGCGTCAGGTCCGGGGCCGGCGCGGCCCCGGCCCAGCATTTTATGCCCAGCGGGGCTAGCCGACCTTAGCAGGCGGTGCATCTAGATGCTATTAGGCAGAGCGGACTTGTGGCAATGAAAAGCAGGTCGGTTCCCACTGCGCGAGGCATCAGTCTAGGAAATCAATCAGAGCGCGGGGGTGGCCTTCGTCCCCCGGCACAGGCTGTGCGATGCAAATGAGAGTGGGCAAAATGCAACCACGGTGCCAAATCAGAGCGGGGCGCCCAGCAACCAAAAGAAAATTAGGGCGGCGCTGTGCTGTGCCCGTGTTCTGGAGCACGGAAGAATTGGCAGAGCGCAGGCGGCGCAGTGCGATGTAATCTAAAGCAGCGACAATGCAGTACCAAGCGCGAAGCTCGGCGCACACGTGCAGTATGGACCTGTGCTGCGGTGCGGGTTCTGCGTCCGGCTCGGGGCGGAGCCCGGAGTCGATGAGCTGCGCCAGGCTTGTCCTATATTGCAGAAGTAGTGCAGCGCTGTGCCAGAGCGAGAAAAACTTAAGCAACAATGCCTCGCAGTAATTCTGGTGCCTTGTTCAAGAGGTGTCTATGCAAGGCGGTGCGTGGTGACCACGCGGGCGAAGCCAGGGCCAGGACCTCCTTCAGGCGGTCGTCGATGCCAAGAGGCGCGACTGCAGTGCGAGAGGCGGCAGCAAGACAGCTCAAGTCGCTGTACAAAGAATCCACGCGCGAAGCGCGCCCTTCGAAAGACACCATGCTGTACCATGCTCGGAGAAAGAGGCGCAATGCAGAGTGACGCCACAAGCCAAGGGCCAGCCAGTCACTGCCAGAGACAGAGCGGTGCATGGCGGTGCAGCGCAAAGGTGGCTAGGGCGAAATATTAGCCAGCACGACCTGCCGGTCTCGTGCCGAAAGGTCCCAAAAACGCGCCATGCGTCTGTGCACTTCGGGGCTGGTCCGTGCGAGGCAGCGCCTGTCACTCAAAGCAAGGCTTCCTAGCACAAAACCTGCAGTGCGGGCAGAAAGGAGAAGTTCAGGAAGTTCAAACAGAACTAGGCCCGATGCGGTAGAGCCGTAGCCGTAGCCGGGCGTCCACGAGATTGCTGTGGCTGAGCAGAGCGCACGGCACAGGCTCAGGGCAAGGCTCAGGGCAAGGCTCAGCAATGCGGCGCTTCGTGTTACCTTGGCGATCCATGGCTGCGCGGCCAGAAAAAGCTGCGGAGCAAACTAAGCTGAAAAGTTTTGCAAGCGATGCAAGAGCTGTGTCAGTGCGATGCATGCGTTCAGCAAGCGAGCATCTAGTTAAGCCAAAGGTGCGGCGCGGGACTCACT